CGCCATCGTGTTGACTCAGATTTGCGAGTCTAGGAGACCAGCCCGCCCATTCGGCTTGAGTGTATTAGCAAGCACTCTACGTAGTGCACAATGAAATCTACCTTTTAATTTTTAATGCAGCACATTATTAAATCGTTTATGTACCATAATGGACCAACTAAAATTAGTTTGTGACCCGCCTTTTGAAAACAAACGCATCTTTATGAAGGCCATCAAAGCAAGGTTTTTCGTGAAATTGTAGTTGTTGAGTGATGAACGGCTTTTGCTTAATCCGGGGAACAAGTAACTTTTATAGTCTCCTTAATAAGCGTTGCTATTTCCTTTTACAAGATAAGAGAAATGATATTTTTGGAGCTTGTTTTGTTTTTCTCACCTGTGGGTCTAAGTATTTCGCGATTTGGAAAGATCAACGTTTTCACTGTGCCCGAATAAACTTTTAATCATTTTAGGTCTGCCATTTTTGGTATTTAAATATCACTTGGATTAGATTAAGGTGTTGAGAACGCTATGTTAGAAACGGGTTATAGCTATTAATATAATCACATTAATAAAACGGAAAAAATGTCTTGCCGAGGTAAAGGGCTTTGTTGAACAGCTCTTAATTAATCAAAGCCGCCAATGTAATGACTGCGGGATGGAGGGTAAAAGGAAAACTTCGTAATAATACTAATGGGACGGCCACGTGTCCAAAGGAAGAGCATTCAACAAGGACCCTATTCAGGATCTACCAGGCATGCTAGCAGGACATTGCAACAAAGACCAACAGTTCCTCTGTAGTGCCAAACTGTCAGTTCCACAACCTACTAAAGAAACCCCCAGATTATGGCAATAGCTGATGAGGCATAAATGTGATACAATCTTAGGTGAGAACTTGAAGGTGCGACACTAACCTCGACTTGGAACCATAACGAGGCCCTGTAGCTTCATGTCAGTAGCCTGAATTATTGCCATGGTTTTAGAGTAACTGGCAGGTCCCAAAGCCTGGCGCAGTCGAAATGAATGGTTCATATTACTTTGCCAACTCATATTTCACTTTAGAGTGCTTCTTTCAAATGCCTGCCTTTTTATAAACATTTCCCAATTTAATATCCTTCACGATTTAAAAAACCAAAAATACAACTGGCATCCTTGTGGAAGTCTATAAGAAACGCTTGTTGGTGCACACTGACCGCTGCAAGTTTTACTATTTTACTCCACCTTGGAGATCGCCTGTAGATTTAATAAAATGTATCGTGGTAGTTATTTAAATCACCCTCGCTACGAAACTTTTGTTTACTCCTGGAATACATAAGAACAATAATTAGGACCATACATTACCCGCAAGAATAGCTAATCCCATACTAGCAGCACAAATTGAAACAAGTTTTTATGAAATATAATACTTTAAAGCCAACAAAATACTGGCCACAACTAATGACACAGGAAAACCTTTTTTTATGCAGTTGTACTTCTACAAAGTCGATGAGTTAAAGGTGATGTAGTAATGATTCGTCCAAAAGCACGATCTTTTAGCCCAGAGGAAAATTGAGGTTCAAATAGGGCCACCCACGTCTACTAGGCAAGAGGAGAAGTGCATTTTGCCGCTGACCACAACGGTCTTAGGATATGCCATTAAACAACCGAAGAGATTGAAGAAATTACTACATAAGATGTGGAAGTTACGTAGATTATTAAACCCCTTTTAAAGGTTCAAAATGAGCTTTAATAAAAGGGGTTTGGAGCTTTAAATTAATGAGTGACAAGGCTTCAATATCACCTATAAAATCGTCTAAGTTTGATTGAATTTTAGGAGTTGGTAAAGGCCATTTGTGCTTGCATCAAGTGTACTGCTTTGAGGACTTGGAGACGTCGCTGACATTGGAAGAAGACAAGGATCACATGTGCTCAATTTGTATTAAGAACTAAGACTTCTGCCATGGGGAATCCCTTAAAGTTTCTCTTTTAGGAACACTTTGTCAGACTCTCAACACGTTGCACAGACTCTCCTCTGTTGAGTGTCATCCCTTGCGGTCCATTTGTCAATCTACCACTCTCATCAAACAAGCGGTAGTGTAAGGAAAGCAAGCAAAATCTAATCCGCCACTCATCAAGTTTTTCGCACATGGTAAAATCACCAAAAACACTTTTAATGGATCTAGAGATCCTCCTTGGCATTTAATCTGTATTGAACGAAGGGAAATTCTGTTGACGATCACCTACATTTTCAGCCAGCCGAATAAATGTCGGTCTACAAAAGGAGCATTCTGACAAAGGATGGGATTTGGCATAGTTTTGCCGAGTAGAGTTTGGATCCGTTACTTTCTACCAAGTTCTTCTTACTTTATAGCTGCTCATCCCATGTCCATGAGCTCGGATTTCGGTCGGTCTAAAGGAGATCGGAAAAGGCATATCGTAATCACGCACTTGTTATTCTCACTCTAGCTTAATACGCACTCCACTTCAATTTCTGTGCCTTTCCCGCATTTGAAGCCATGTCTGATTCTCCGATCCGTAGCAAGATAACCCTTCTTCCACTCCAGCAATGTGTGCTACTAGGAAGTAGACATTGGAATCGATGTAATACCCTAAGACTTTCCTAAAGACAAAGAAGCAGAATATTCGGGTGGGGAATAAAAATTCAACATAGATTGGGCTTCTGACTACCTGTACTACTTGGAGGCGAGCCAACCAAGCAAAACTAATCGTTTTTGTCTGCTAAACAAATTTTAAGAAACGCAAAATACAACACTACTTTCAACAAAAAGTAAAGCTTATTAAAATGGCATAAAAAGAAACTAAATCCCCAAATGCATGATTCTAAGAAACACACTTGTGGAAGTACCTTCTTCACATCCTACAATGCTGACTGTAAATTAAAGAAGGTTTTGAATTATCAGATTTTAGGATCGAAAATATACTTACTGTTCACTGTGATCCACAGCATAAAGCTATCAGCATAACGACCTTTTGTGGTTAATAAGTTCAAATGCAGCATTATAGGGCGGAAAACTAAACCTCACGCAAACGGAGGAAGGAAGTGAGAATTAAAAGTTCAAGTGTGCCACAAATAAATGCTCGATATGTGCCTTCTGAAGCAATTGCATAAGCACAATTTGCACAGATTTCGATGAGAATATGCACACTGAGTGTAGAGTAGACCAATCAGGTGGAAGAGGTAGAACAACCACCCTTACGCACAATGCCTCAGCTACGTCAGGCTTGGTCTCTATGGTACACCATACGTACGACAACTCATATATTAACGTCTTCACGACGAATGCTTTTTAGAGTGAGTGATTCTATCATGAGGACTGTTCTTGTGTGGTTTGCGATTGTAGGAATTTTGGTGGCTAGCTTTATCAACATTGCTGCTGCCGATGAAGAGCAACAGTCAGAGGTGACTAATAATGACAGAGATGAGGAAGAGGAAGATGTATCAGATGAAGATGAAGGCGAAGATGAAGGCGAGGACAATGAAGAGGAAGATGTTGATGAAGACTATGGCACCGCATATGCAAAAAAAGGTGATTATAATGTCGACGAAGGTGTGGATGAAGGTGTCGACTATGAAGATGTAAATGAAGAAGGGAGAGGTCCCGAAGAAGCAGATGAAGATACCGATTATGTGCATGAAGGTGTCGAGGGTGAAGACGAAGGTGTTGAAGATGAAAATGAATACCCCAAAGGTGTAGACGAAGGTGTTGACAATGAAGCTGGACCCATGGAAAAGAAGGAAGAACAAGGAGATGAGTACGAGGATGAGTATGAGGATGAAGACAGGGATGAGGACGAGGGCGAGGACGAGGAAGAGGAAAAGAAAGCTTACGAAGGTGATGAGGAGGATGAAGAAGATGAAGGGGAACCTGATGACTATGATGGCGAAGAACTAGAGGAGGAAGAACCGGAGCCTTAACCGGTAGCAGTTCAGTAAAATATATGCTTTTCGCTATTTTTTGAACTGCTAAACGTACCCTCTTCATTTCTTCTCCCCAAATTCCATGTTGGTGACATACGCGGCTTAAAGCTTTCGCTCGAGATAAAGATATTAATGTATTATTTTCCACTTCTGATTTTCAATAGTTAATGCAACTCGATTTTAGTCTCTAAACCCTCTTAATCTAGCCGGTCACCATTAATTAAATGCAAAATTTATAGACCGTGTGGACGCATTTAATGCGTGGTGTTGCTTATATCCATTTTTGGCTCTGTACTTAAGAGTGGGAAAAACAAGAATAAGACTCCTTTTTATAGGAAGCATTTAAAAATTTCATCATTTGCTTTTGTTGACTACTTAATAGTTATGATGGAAGAATTTGAATGTCGAGTTCCACTTCGATCTCAAAAGTGAACATCAACCGCTCACCAAGACTGCATCCACGTCAAGAAATCACAATTTCCTACCAATTACATAGAAATTTAGGGGCAAAACTAAAAGTAGAAGCTGTGGTAAGTTAGTATTTCAGCCGAAGTCGCTACTTTGCATATTTTGCTTCGGCAATGTGAAGCACCGAGCACGAAATCTATCGGTTTGTTTTACATCAACCGTCACCACAAAAAAATGCGGAAACGGTGACGAGTGCATAAGTTGTTGGTAAGTTGAGAGTGCCCGTACTTAAGGGACCAGGTAGAGAGTAAAGGTGGCTGCGAAACAAAATACTTTATGCAATTTGCATTAAATTTGCTACATTCACTGAGGCGCAGTTACGTGCTGCCTACAGATTGTGACGGAGTGGCCATCCTTTCATCGATGTTGGACTAAAATATTTGCTCTCATACGACTTTGATGCAAGCTTGCGTGCCATCAACTTCATTTTGGGGTTGAAGTGAGTAGCAAGACGGTCTATTCGAAAATGGACTTCACTAGACAGTTTACATTTGAGCTGGAGTTTCAGCAGTGAAATATGGGACCATAAAATGTCCTTACTAAATTACCAGTTGACAAACGCAAAGACAATTCCGAACAATGCACTCTAAGGTAGAGACCGCTTTAATCAGATAGAGATATTACATACTGAGGCCTCCTAAAAACTGCAGTCGTCAAGTAGTAGTGGAGTATGTCCAGTGGCACGGTTCTCAGTCATCTCCTTGATGAGGAGCAGCCAGGCGGAACCAAAGTCAAATACGCAACAGAGCATTCTGGAAAGAACACATGCTTAAACCACTCGACCTCTGATGGAGAAAAAGGGCATATTTTGATAAGGGTAAGCTTTAGCCATAATTACACCTTACATAGGTAGGATTCGAACCAAAACTAATGGCATTATAACGACCTGACAACATGCATGACTAGACCCTACTTTTAGTAAGCAGTCTAAAATGTTTCCTTAAATCATCCTTACATGGGTTGTGGCATGCAATACACTATGAAACCCACTAAAATGGCATCTATTTACCTAAAATTCAAGGAGAAGTGTTGTTAATACTTAGGTGTAGTTTACACCACAGAAGCGTCACCCTCGACTTCTTTAAAATAAAAGAAGTCTTCCCGTGGTTCACTACTAATACCTAATCTTGGTTGTATGAAAGTTAGTAATGCTGCTTCAAGTTAAAACTAACGTTAACTCGGCAAGTTTTTTAGTTTGCCTTTGTAATTGATGATGCTCCAATTCTAAACAGAACCGAGGTTATCCAAGCATTTTTTCCCCTTCATAATCATTTTTACAGATTTGAAGAGGACTGCACCTATAGCGGAACGGTGCAATCCCTCCTCTCCGAATTCAATCCATACTTGGATTGTGCATCTTTAATCGTCATTTTCTTGTCGAAACGAGATGCTCGTTTGCGTGACTAATTCAAGTTTAGCCTATAAGAGGCCACTTTTATGCAAATGCAGGTTGTTTGAATCAAGCACACAACAGGGCAGTTCAATTCTTCTGCGTCAATGCGGTTCACCTAATCCAAAGCAAAGCTCCTTAGCACTCACTGCTCGAAGGCAATTAAAAGTGAAGCCAGTTGTGTATTTCTGTAGTAGAAAATTTCAGACGAGTTCATAATGTGAATAGGAAGTAAATGTACTGAGGTTTGTTGTTCGTTTCAACAAGTTCGGAGCTATGACGAGCGGTCAACATCCGGACTCTGCGGCTGTCAAACGTCGCAGTTCCCCAGGAGGGTCGCCTTGGCCTGCAGCATTGTGCATGATTTGCTTCAAGCTTGGCATGGGAATTTAGAACTTTGGATGTGGTGTTCGGACAGTTTGAAAGTAAAAGTTACAAGCTAGCATTATTCAGTAAACAGCCCAGCAAGTAGGAATTACATCAGAGTATATCGAAGACGCAAGTATCTGAAACAGGTGAACTTGTAAAACCACACATCATGGGGTAGCAGGACAAGGTTGTGTGGGGATGCTGCAGTAAGACAACAAAAATGTCACCTATTTAACAGGCCTTTTCAAACGACAATATGTTCTCCAACTTTACTGCAAAATGTACGCTTGAAGTGAGCATTCACAACGCAATAACGTAGTTACAAATAGTTTGCAGCTGAAAGTAAGAAACAGAAGTAGTATTCGTGACTTCCACTATAAAATTTCAGATTTGAATAGAGCTTAAGGCGCCCTGAATTCACCCTTTACCCTTGTTATATCAAGTGTCTCCATTTAAGATTGCACCTTAACTCTTCAAACAACGCCACTCCCTTTGGAAGAAGGAGGCCAAGAAACTCCACTTGTCTTCCACTGCAAAATTTTTACAAGAATCAAAGGTGGGATGCGTAGAATGGCATAAGTCGCACCGTTTAGGGCTAACTGTTACGTGAGGCAATAAAGTAAGAAGCAAGGAGGATATGCTAATTAGTTTTACTACTTGAGTAAATTCTATCCATTACCAGAACACTTACATATTGTCAGATCGGAAAGTTGTGTCAACTGT